GGCATGGCAGTTATAAGGGCTGTCAGGTATAAAGGATAGTTGACCACTCTTAGTTTGCCATAATCACGTCTTTCAAATCTGCGCAGCTTTTGGTGTGACAGGTGGCTGTCAGCAGCATGCTACCTAGCGGAGTTTTAACTAATTTGGGGCTCATTTTAGATTCATGGAAAAGTCACACAGATCGCACAGTCCCATCTACTCTTTCCCTCTTACCACGCGTGCGTCAAAACTGAGAAATGAACATCAGTGCAACGTATTGACTACAGGCTTTATTCGGATTTCATCAGCTTTTCTAATATTGTCCTTTTTCTATAACAGGATCCAATCCAGGGCACCACACTGGATCCTGGGACAGAAAACAGATAATATTAGAAAAACGGATGAAATTGAAATCGTAGTCCCTCAGTCTCTTCTGTCTGTGACAGGTTCTCAGCCTTGCTTTTCATGACTTCGGCGTATTTGAGGAGTCCTGGGCAGGTATTTCGTAGGGTGACCCTCACTGGGGATTTACTAATGTTTTCTCGTGATTCAACTGGGGTTATGGGTCTGGGGGAGGAAAGCCACAGAGGAGACCTGCCCTTCTCATCCCAGCCTATCAGGGGGACGAACAGGGCTCATCGCGGTGAGGTTAGCCGTCAGCACTCGGCCACCGTGGCGTCTACTGGGTGTCTCCACCATGAAGTCACCCTTTTCGCCTTTCCACACTCCATCTGTAGGGAGCAAATAACTGAGTCCAGCCCTTACTCGGAGGGAGGAGAATTAAGCTCCATTTCCGGGAGGGGGATTATCTACATAGATGATTTAGAATTCTTCTGTAAGTATGACTTGCTTCTCTCCTCAGATATTTATTTGTTCAATCATTTATTTATATAAGTATGTACTCATACATATTTATTTTATTCTCTGAGTTATAATCCAGTGCTATAGTTATTTATTTTGTTGTTCGAAATGTCCCAGTGTGGGCCACTGGGAGTTCTTTCAACGTGGTCCCTGTGTCCTTTTGGTATACACTCCCTCCGCTCTCTCTCTCAGTACTTCCTTGTTTTCTGGTAGTAACAAGTTGCTCCAGGCTCATCTCGCATTATCCCTACCCAGCCCTAAAATCAGCCAATGTTCAAGGATTCGTGTTTTCTCTTTTTTTTATTGGAAAATGGAATGGTGTTAGCGGCAGATCTGGGGGCTGAGTATGCTCATTGCTATGGGGTGTCCAGTTTCTAGGTCCTCTTGGGAGACAGAGTTAAGAAATCGATGTATCTATACTATCCCATGTATATACACATTTCTGCTTATTTCTGCATCTGAATCTGTTGATGTGAAGATAGATGTTACATAGATTCCTGTTTTCTATCTGACTCTAATCCGGCACCACAGGGGTTGTTCTCGTCTTCCTCTCTGGCTCATTTGTAACTTCGTTCTCTGACAGTGTGAAATCTGGCCCCAATATCAACAATTTATTCACTCATTTGTTTGACCCTAGTTTTACATGTAAAGCAGTTTCAGAATTACCAACCTTGACCCCTGCGAGAAGCAAATTTACCAACTAGAGTACAGTGTTTATATGCCGATCTTTCTGTTTTTAGACTTAAAATATCCAGTCAAAACACTGTTTTCCAAAGTGACTTAGATCAGTAACTCCTTCCCCCACCTGTCACACACCTGTGATGCAATTAGGTCTGAATTCCGTCCTGGGATCCCCCCACTTCCTGGGTGATTTTTTAAAAATTTGCAAACACTGACATTCACACTTTGTGATGTATGATTCTGTGGGTTTTGACAAATTCACGAAGTTCTGAGCCCACTACCCCGGTACCACAGGGAACAGTTGACCTAATGAAAGTCGTGTGGCCCTTTGTGGTCAATTCCGCCTCTAATCTGTACTGACAAGCACTGATCTGTTCTCTATCTCCATGGTTTTGTCTTTCCCATAATGTCATATATGCAGAATTATATCACAGATAGTCTTTTGGGTCTGGCTTCTTTCACTTAGCAAAATGTTTTTAAGATTCATCCATGTTGCCATGGGAACCAATAACTTGCTCCTTTTGATGCTGAGTGGTATTCCTGTGTATGGCCGTACCACAGTTTGTGTGCACATGTTCCCACGTTGAAGGACATCTTGGATGCCTCCAGTTTTTAGTAATTCTGAATAAAGATGCTATAAACATTGGGTAGCTTGTTTTTGTGTGAACATAAGTTTTTGATTCACTTGAATAAATACCTAGGAGTGTGATTATTGGTTTATATGATAATTCTATATTTAAGTGCATAAGAAACTGCCAAACTGTTTTCCAAAATGACAGTACATTTTGTTCCCAGCAGTGATGAATGACTGTTCTTACTGTTCTGTGGCTTCATCCTCACTTGGCATTGTCTGTTTGATTGAGTTTAACAATTCTAATTGGTGAGAAGTGATGTCTAATTGTGGTTTTAATTTACACTTCCCCAGTGACAAATAATGTTGACCATCTTTTCATATGTTTATTTGCCACTTGTATATTTTCTTTGATGAAGTGTTTGCTTAGATTTGTTGCCCATTTTTTAATTGGGTTATTTTGTTTGCTTATTGTTGAGCTTTAAGAGTTGTTTATATATTCTGAATACAAGGCTTTCATCAGATGTCTGATTGGTAAATACTTCTCCCAAGAATGTTTTTAATCTTGATCAAATCCAATTAATCATCTTTGTCTTTTATGAATTACGCTTTTGGTGTTGTATCTAAAATTTCATTGCCAAACCCCAAATGCTGCAGATTTTCTACATTTACTTCTACAAGTTTCATGGTTTTACTATTAATATTTACATTTAGGTCTTTGATCCATTTTAAATTAGTTTTTATATAAGGTATGAGGTATGTGTCCTCCAATATGCCTTTTTAAATTTTAGTTGTTGTTTTTGTTGTTTTGCACATAGACAGCCATTTTTCCAGAACCATTTGTTGAAAAGACCATCATTTTTCCATTGAATTGAATTTGCATCTTCATAAAAATTCAGGTGACTACATTTTTGTGGGTTTATCTCTGGGTTCTCCATTCTATTCCACTGGTCTATGCATCTACCTTTCCACCTATATCACTCTATCTTGATTACTGTAGCTTTATATTAATATTAAATCCTAAAATCAGGTAGTATGAGTCCTTCAATTTTGTTCTTTTTCTGAATAGTTTTGGCTATTCTAGTCTTTTTGCCTTTCCACATTAGTTTTAGGATCGTCTTATTGATATTTTCAAAATAACTTTCTGTGATTCCATTGAATTGATAGATCAAATCTTAATAATGTTGAATCTCAAATTCATGGACATGGTATATCATTTCCATTTATTTAGATCTTCTTTAATTTTTCATGTGTTTTATAGTTGTCAGAATACAGATAGATCCTACACACATTTTGTTAGATTTAAATTAAAGTACTTCATTCATCTTTGTGTGCTATTATAAATGATGTTTTTTAAATTTCAAATTCTATTTTCTATTGTTAGTATATACGAATATGAATAGCTTTTATGTATTTACCTTGTGTCCTGAAAACTTGCTGAACAGGCATTTTTGAAGGGAAAAAAACAATGTATCCCTATTTTCTCACTAATTAGTAAAATTCCTATTTCAAAGCATTTTGAAAAGGTGTTTGAAGAATAAACCTATAATTTTCTCTTATTATAAACAGTTCACAGAAAAAGATCCACAAATGGCTCCTAAACATAAGAAGAGATGTTCAACCAGCTTGAAATACGAGAAGTAGAAATTGAAACTGTGCTGAGATACCAGGTTTCATCTCTCACGTTGGCAAATACTGAAAAGTTTGAGAAGTGTGGTGGCCTGGCAGTCGGAAAAGAGCCTCATTTTGCAAATATGAGCTCACGTGGAAGGCAATTTGAACCTATCTAGAAAAATTTCAAAATTACGCTTTTTGACCTAAAAATTCCATTTCCAGGAATTTTTCCTACAGATATGCTTATAAAGGTGAAAATGACATATGCACAAGATTATTAATTATAATATATTTATAATAGAAGAATGAAATAATATAAATGTGCATCAATATGGAATTGGCTAAATAAGTTATGTTATTACAGTGCAGTTACACAGTTAAATCTGCACAATGTAACAATAAATAAACTTAAAAATAGATTTCAATGAAAATTTCACATACTTGCAGATGGAATTTAATAAAATGATAGTTATGTGCAACCAACGACAAACTTCTACTTAGACTACACATCCCAGCGAGAATTAATTTCAAATGTGTCATTAAATCTGAACATGGAAATTAATAGATCTTGAAACCAGCCCTTCATTATTGATTCAGAAAATACTAAACCAAAGTTTTCAAAAATAATAAAACCATATTGATTTCACTAAAAATATTTTATTTATAACAACTGAATTATAGCAAAGAATGTATTGTTAATAAAATGTTTAATGTTAATTTCACCTCTGTCTCATCCATTTTCAAATTTTGGATTTGTGTATGTTTATAATTTGCATAACATATTAGTACAGAAGTACAGGAGTGTGTTTTCTAATTTAATAAACAACTACTGGGGGTACATGCTTAACTTAACTGATGGGATGTGTGATAACGTTTGGAGACTGCTGTTTTACAGAAGAGCTCTGGCTTGGGTGGGAGGCCCTGCCCAAGTTGTGGAGTAAGGAGTGTTATTGACGGGGGAAGAAGAAAAAAGAGAGGTAGGAAGGCCCAGAATGTAGTTATCACCTGTCTCAGAACACAGGAGTGCAGGATGTTATGGCTTTATGTCCCAAGAAGTAGAATTCTAGTATCTCCAGGCAGTTGGAAACAAAGGAGTTAAGAATTCTTCTTTCTCTAAGACTCTAAAGGAAGGTTCTTGAGCAAGGAAAGGGCTCACTCGTGTCTTGGAAGGGTCAGACATGGCTTCGCGGGATGCGGGAAGCTCTTGTGAGCTGCCAGTCACTGACTGAGTGAGTAGTGTACCGTTCCTTCCACATAGTCACCCGAGAATCAACCTCTGGGGGAAGCCACCAGGAATCTACCTTTTCAGCAAGACCTACATGACTCTGATGAAGCCACCTGTCCCAAAGAACCAGCAAGGGTCACCCTTGACTTGAAGGATTGAAACATTATGCTTAGGGTCACCGTTGCTGTGGGGGTTTGTTTTGACTTGAGATCAGTAAGATGCTAAGATGGGATAGAAACCAACGTTACTTAGAAGCTCTGCATCTCAGGCTTCATTCGGTTACCTCTCGGTGCCTAGCGCAGTCTATACACCAGGGGCAGGCATGTTCCGAAAAGAGGATGATACCTTAGGCTTCGTGGTCTACACGGTCTCTAACACAACTACTCAGTTCTGCCGTTGTAGTGGGAAAGCAGCCACAGATAATACATTATCAGATGGGTGTAGCTATGTTTCAGTAAAACTTCACTTACAAAAGCAGCCCTCGCTGGCCGACCTGCCACTCATAAGGTTGTCATCTGCATGCCCCAAGTGAAACGCAGTTATTACCTTATTGCTCAGTTACTTTAAAGCCCACGTTGTGACTTGGGCTTTGTCCTTGTGCTTTGTCCTTGCTCCATACTCAGTCCTACTTTCAGCCTCCCCTTTCCACGGGAGAAAATCTAGTCCCAAGAAGAGGAACTAATAACTTGAAAAATTTCCAGGCAAGTGCAGAAAATGACACCAGACGAAAATAGGTGTGAACATCAGGTTCAGCATCCTAAGCAGTTATCAGAAATCTCACTTCGCCCCATCCCAGCAAGGAGGTTATATTTGGGGAAGACGTATTATTTCAAGAGAGGAAGAGACTGTGGAAAACCAGTAGCCAACAAGAGGTGGAGGACTTGGTCCTGCCCCCACTTTATTAATCAATAATTCAGTGGAGGTCTCTTTCTCACCCTCTACGCCCACACCCAACGCTTTCCTCCCCTCCTGCTCTCCGGTCAGATGCAGGCTTCTAGGACACTCCACCAGAGTAGCGGTGGCGAGCCCAGAAAAACATTGCATTTGTAATAAAAGATGAAAGACTGACATTTTTGAAGCGATGCTTCCGCATTTGGAAATGTATCCAGATAAGAGAATGAAAGAAAGATAAGATGCTTGATCTTGTCCCTTCAGGGGATCCCCAACAATAAATATTCAAGTTGTCCATACGGGGCCACACGTATGTCATCTCTGCCTGAAATAGGGTGTCTGTTTTTGCATATACAGTTGGCCCTTGAACAATGCAAGTTTGTAGGCACAACGATCCCCGTGTGGTTGAAAATCCGCCTATAAATTTGCCTCCCCAAAACTTAACTAGTAGCCTACTGTTGACAGGAAACCCTACTGATAATATAAATAGTCGATTAGCATGTATTTGTATGTTGTATGTATTACATGCTGTATTCTTACAGTAAAGTAAGCTAGAGAAAAGAAAACATTGGCAAGAAAATCATAAGGCAGAAAAAATATTCACTGTTTATTAAGTGGAAACGGATCAGCATAAAGGTCTTCATTGTCATCGTCTTTACGTGGAGCGGGCTGAGGAGGAGGAGGGCGGGGGGGAGGGTCTTGGTGTCTCCAGGGTGGCAGAGGCAGAAGAGGGAAAGGACACGCAAGGGGGGGCAGGAGAGGCTGGCAAGCCCGCTGCAACTTTTACTGACAACAATCTGTGCACACGTGGACCTGTGCAGTCCAAAGCCACGCTGTTCAAGGGTCAACTATATAGGAAATGCTTCAGCCTTTATATTCTGTTTTCTCAATTCAGAGTTAAATGGCAATCACGGAAATGCCCCCGTGGTTTCCGCCTGGACGTCAGTGAAGAAGGGTTAATTTCTCTGCTTGCGTGACGCCAGGAGCAGAGCGTTGAGTTCAGAGTCGCTGTGCAGAAGCACTGAGGAAGGAGCCCGCGCTCTTGCTCCTTGCCTGTACTGTGCTCTGTCTGTACTGCCTCTGTTTCCCCTGACGCTGGCTCAGAATGACAGCAAGTGACGGGCAGCATCTGGGCAAGGCCGTGGCAGCAATAGCCGCCGTCGGCCATGGACAAAATCCTAGGCTAAATCAAGAATGTCTGACCTGGTCTCCTGATCTTCAACAGGTTCTGTCCCCAACAGGCTTCGGGGATGAAGGCTGCGGGCATCCTGGCCCTGATTGGCTGCCTGGTCGCAAGCACTGAGTCCAAAGTGTACACGCGCTGCAAACTGGCGAAAATATTTTCGAGGGCCGGCCTGGACAATTACGCGGGCTTTAGCCTTGGAAACTGTGAGGTTTTTTTCCTTCCTGCACTCCTGCTACCTTTGACCTTTCCTGTGAGGTGCTGAGGGTCTCAGTTACGCTCTCTCTGTTTGCTCCCAGCTTGTCCATGCTCTGACCATATCCCCCCGCCCCCCAGGGATGGCTGCTGGGTAGTCACATACTGTCCTCCTCCCATTCCTCCCCTGCCCCTCGTCCCCTCAGTGCTGGAATCCTGCGCTTAAGACACCAGCGCCAGCGAGGGGAGGGGAAATGATGCCACCCTGCTGGCATTGCCGGGGAGGACCTGACTTTTGGTTCTAGACTAGGCGCGGCCACGGACCAGGTGTGCAGCTTTAGGTGTGCCACCGCAGCCCCCAAGTGCTGTCCCCGTGTGCCCCTGGGTGCACCACCTGCCCTGCCCCACCCCCAGGCTTGTTGGGAGGAGGCAATTAGGTGACAGTGGATGAGGAAACCCCCCCTAAAAACCGGCTTAGAGGAAATAAGACATTGCTTTTCCTGGCCCTTGTGGCTTTGTCCCTCCCTAGGGATCTGCATGGCGTACTACGAGAGCGGCTACAACACCACGGCGCAGACGACCCTGGACGATGGGAGTGTCGACTACGGCATTTTTCAGATAAACAGTTTCACGTGGTGCAGATATGAAAAGCTGCAAGAGAAGAACCACTGTCATGTTGCCTGCTCAGGTACCGTTGTGATTTGCCAAAAATGTTATCCTCAGGAACAAAGGCAAGAAAGGTGACGATGGGATATCCACCCATTTTCTGCTTTCACTAAAGCTTGGAGCTCAGCGTTGCATAGGTCTGTTCCAGGCCAATGAATTATTCAATAGTTCCCCAAGGTGACACTTAAGTTTCTGTGACCTACTTGTCAAAAGGTGATTTATTCCTTCTAGGATCATTTTTATTAGACCCTCCACAAAAACAGGGATGGACAAATGGCCTTACTGCCTTTCCACATAGAGAGACACTGGATACTTTCAGTGAGGAGGAAGCGCCTTGCTGGCTGCTTTCCTTGAGCAATTCACTCAGAGGATGAGTGTGCGTTCTTTGTGCAGACCGAGACCAGTGAACACACTTTCCACTGCTCAAACAGTAGAAATTAAGCTAGAATTCACTTCCAAGTCTTCTCGTACTTTGGTCATTCAAGAAGTAAATACGTGCACAGCATCGAAGGTAACAAAATAGATCAGATATGAATTCGGCTTTGCAAAGCCGTTAAGCAGCAAGGAAAGAGAATATGTGCTTATGTGAAGTTCAATAAATGACTGTACAGAGGTGTGGACTGAGCGCTGTGGGCTTTAGAGGAAAGTGATAGTATTAAGAAAACTATGGAAAGTTCCGTAGACACGGTGATATTGACCGGAGACTTGGAAGATAGGTAAGATTTGGGGAGAGAGAGAGAAGAGTCATTGCAGGCAAGAGGAATAGCAAACGCGTAGAGGTGTGGAAGGTGTGGCGTGTGGACAAGGCGCGGTGAGGTGTCTGTTGTGTCTGGAACAAAGAGGATGTGCTGAGGCATCACAGGAAACGCAGTCGGAGCAGCTGCCCACTACATGAGCATTGCCTGGACAGCCGGGCTAAGGGGTTCGCTCTGATTTCTGCCTTCAGGAGGGAGCCAGTAGGGGTCAGAGAATTGTACATTGATTCCGCAAGATTAATCCACAAACGGGGTCTGGAATAGATTACAGAAGAGAACATTTCGGTGCAGCTGAGATCATTGAGGGAAGATACGGAAGACCTGAGTGGTGGTCATGGTTGGGGACACAGAGAAGAGGGGTCGGATGCAAGGATACTGAGCAGGCACAAGGACAGAGCTCAGGGCACGACGTCTCATTTGGTCCCTCTGGGATGTAGGAGGTCCCTTGAGGGCAGAGAGGTTTGTCCATCTCATTCGCTGATGTACCCTCAGTGTCTAGAATGGTGCTTGGACTTTGGGGGAGCTCAGCAAATAGTTATTACATGAATAGACGGAGAATGAGGAACGAGGGTGTGGTCAGAGAGTCATAAAATATTCTCTGGAAAAGTCTTTGGGAGCAGGAAGTAAACTGTGCTTTAATTTCTCTTTGCCACATACGGTAGTCCTCTCTAGTCTGAGGGGCATACGTTCTGAGACCCCCAGTGGATGCCCGAAATCGCGGTGGCACTGAACCCTATATACACTATGTTTTCCCTATACATGCATATCTATGATAAAGTTTGATCTATAAATTAGGCAGAGTGGGAAATTAACAATAGTAACTAATGATAAAATAGAACAATTATAACAATGTACTGTAATAAGAGTTATGTTAATATGGTCTCTCTCTCTCTCTAAATATGTTATATTAATAAAAATAACTGAATGCGGTTGACCATGGATAACTGAAATTGTGGAAAGTGAAAACCGCAGACAAGGGGAACCCTGGTACAAGATAATCAGTGTACACATTTGACTGTATGAGTGATTGAATAATATGTTAATTAACATAGTAAATTTTTCCTACCCTTACATTAATACAGAATGGTCACTACCCCCAAGGTGGACCTCCCAATTGTTAATCAGCCCTTAATTTAGAACATTCTTTTGTTGGACCAAATCTACCCTGTTATAACCATCTTCCATTAATCCTAGTTTTTCCTTCTGGATTTATTCAAAACAAATTTGGTTTATTTTATACATAGAAATGTATGAACTCTTTGCAAATGATTCATGAATATTTCTCACCTCCAGTTTCTTATCTCCTGGGCTAAAACATTCAGTATCTTCACCTTTCTACAGGTATGACTTGAACCCCTCCCTGAACCGGTCAATCTCGCCAGCATTTCCTAAGAGCTTGCCAGTGGAGGCTTTCAGTTAAATATGGTGATTAGACACGTGCATTTACCTCCCGTGGGGGCCCAATGATGGTCCCCCACTCTCTAATCCCTGAAATCCGTGAGTCTGTTACCTTACGTGGAAAGGGACTTTGCAGATGTGACGAAGGGTCCGAGCTTGAGAAGGGGAGATTATCCTGGGTGATGCGGGTGGACCCTCAAAAGCAGAGAATCTCGCTCAGCTATGATCAGAGAGAGATCCGATGACAGAAGATAGAGGAGAGATTCAAAGCATGGGAGGGACTTGACCCACCACTGCTGGCCCTGAAGGTGGTGTAAGGGCCAGGGGTCAAAGGGTGTGAGTGGCCCACAGAAGCTGGGGGTGGCCCTCCACTCACAGCCAGTAAGCAACAGAGACCTCAGCCCTCCATCCACAAGAAAATGAATTCTGCCAGAACTCAAATAAGCAAGGAAATGGATCATCCTCCAGAAAAAACAGACTTGCCAGCACCTTGACTTTATCTGGGTGAATTCCATGTCACTCTCCAACCTACAGAATTGTAAGAAAATTTTGTGGTTTTTAAGTCACTACATTTGTAGCAGTTTGTTATGGCAGCAATAGGAAACTAACACTTCTCGCCTCTGTCTTGATAGCCTATTACATTAATAGTATAGGGATTTAAGAATAAATAAGACAAAAAGGCATAAATCCAAAAAGACAAGGTAAATGAAAGAAGAAACAGAACCAAAAATAAAAATAATTTAGACGCTGGAAAGCAGGAAGCAGGTGGTGACTAACTTAGCGATTAGAGAAATCTGAATCCTAAACCAACAGACGGGTTATTTCCAATCTATAGTTCCACACTAGCCCAATGATCAGTATGTTTTGAGTGCAGAATGAATACATTTTTAGATGAGCAAGTTGTTAAAATTATTGCCTCCTAAAGAATCCTGGCTGGAAAACAGCCAATGCAAAACTGGGTAATTTTTTTTTTTTAATTTTTATTTCAGCATGTTATGGGGGTACAGATGATTAGGTTACGTATGATGCCCTTACCCTCCCTCCCCTCCAAGTCCGAGCTTCAAGTGTGTCCATTCCCCCGGAGGTGCCCGTCCCCTCCTCCCCCCTCCCCTCCCCCTGCCCAACATCCAATACATGTTATTCTTATATGTGCACTTATATGTTGATCAGCTAATACCAGTTTGATGGTGAGTACATGTGGTGCTTGTTTTTCCATTCTTAGTAGAATGTGTTCCAGCGCTTTCCAGGAGTATATAAGAGGTGCTATATCACCATTGTTTCTTAGAGCTGAATAGGACTCCATGGTATACATATACCACAGTTTATTAATCCACTCATGTATTGATGGACACTTGGGTTGTTTCCACATCTTTGCAATTGTGAATTGTGCTGCTATGAACATTCGAGTGCAGGTGTCTTTTTCATAGAGTCACTTTTGCTCTTTTGGGTAGATGCCCAGTAATGGGATTGCTGGGTCAAATGGTAGTTCTACTTGTATCTCTTTAAGGTAGCTCCATATTGCTTTCCACAGAGGTTGCACTAGTTTGCAGTCCCACCAGCAATGTATGAGTGGGTAATTTGAGGAAAATTTTAATAAAGGGGCCACCTAACAAAGGTGTAATAAAATCATAGGAAAACCATGAAGGGATAATAAAGTGAGGAGTTAGGAACAGCAGGTCATTACCAGCCCCTGGCCCAAAGGGGAACGGGAAGAGCTGTGACCAGCACCCAAATACATAGGGTGGGCAGGGAGAGGGCCGCCTTGTAGAACCTGTGACCTCCCTTCAAAAGATACGGCTTGTGCTGAGTGACGTGCCAGGAAAAAAACTTCACTGTCCTTCCTCCCTTCCTATCCTGCTGGGGCTCACTCTCTTAAACCCCACCAGAAGTCAGAGGACAACAGGGCCTGTTGACGCCATCCATATGGGTCCATCTCCCAGTGCACCAACTGTGGCCAAGAAGGATGGAGAGTGGACATGTGGGGGCAAAGAGAACATGCATGGTGCGGCCCCCTGCATCCTTTCTCACAGCACTGTGGGGAAAGGTGCTCCACCAAAACGATAAAGGAAACCAAGAAAGAGGAAGACGTAGTTCCGGGAAACAAAGGATTCAGTAAGGGAGACAGGCAAAGACACCCAGCATGACCGTGAGGGATAATCCCAGGATGAACTTTTACTATAGATTTCTAATTACATCTCACTGTGGTCAGAGAATATGGTCTATATGGTTCCAAACCTTCAAAATTTCTTTAGCCTTGTTTTATAGCAGAGCATATGTGTCTCATGGAAAATGTGCATTTGAAGAAAAATGTGTGTGTTATAGTTGGTGGATGGATGTTCCATACATGACTGTCATGTCCTTACTGATTTTCTTACTTGTTCTATCACACAGTGAGAAAAAGACACACTAAAACTTTTAACTATCGTTATGGTTTTGTCTATTTCTCCTTTCATCCCTGCCAGTTCTAGATGCCCCATTAGTAGGTGCACACTCACTGAGGATTGTTACGTCTTCGTGATCAATTGAACCTTTTATTACCAGAGTCAGTGTTTCTCCTTAACTCTGACACTATGTCTTATCCCGAAATCTACTTGTCTGATAGCAATAAAACCACTCCAGCTTTCTTCCAGGGAGTATTTGCAATGGTATATTTCTTTCCATTCTTTTACTTTTAACCCATCTGCGTCTTTATATTTAAAGTGAATTTCTTATAGGTAACAAATTGTTATGTGTTACATTTGATCCATTCTGACAATCACCGCTTTTCAATTGGAGTGATTAGACCATAGGTCTAATGTTTTCCTAAAGGGCCACATAGCAAGTATTTTAGGCTTTGCAGGCCACATGGTTTTTATTGCAACTGCTCAAC